AATAATAAGAGCCTAATTGGTAATCAATATGATGAATCATCTGTAGAAGTAATTATTCTGTAAGCACCAGATTATAAAATCTCAGAGTTTATGTCTACCTCAACATTACATTCTCAAAGTCTAGTATAGTATTTTACACATGGTAGGTGCTCAGTAAATATCTGCTGAAGAAATGCAAGCAGAACAATCTAACACTGGGCAAAACTGAGGAGTTTTGAAACCAGCCTAATTTGAATAAATGTGACCTAACCGGTGAATTTTTTTTTGTAATTTCAGAAATCCATATTAACATATCCAAAGCTATAATGCAAACAATTATACTGTATATAATTATGCCCAGCTTTAAGAAAGAGGACAAGTCAATGTGAAGCCTGGAAAAAAGAGGCAAAAGTTAAAAATTTACCTGGGGGATCTGCCATTAGGTCCATGGTGATAACCAGGCTGGGAGGGTTGGCAGGTATAATCTTATAATGGAGATTATACATACTACAAGTAGCCACAAAGATCCTTAAATTAACTCATTTCAACTATATTTTCACCTACAAATTTGTCCATTACCCTTTGACTTCCTATTTGGGTTTACCTATAGTCAAAAAACATGCTGACCACTAATATGGCTTTTCTGTTATATTTACTAGATGGCTATATTTCTTAAGATAATTTAATAAACTGGTATTGCAAGTTCTTGGGATATTAACATGAAATAGTGGCTAAGCAACCTATCAAGTCTGTTATTGCATTCATAAAATTCAGTTTTAAGGGATAGGCAAAGCTAGGGACCAGACCCAAGAAAGTGCAAACAATATATTACCGTGTGAAATAATATCTATGCAGACAGGTAGTCTTCTGAGGTATCTCCCCACTGGCGAAAATAAAGAACCGCAAGTAAACATAAACACAATTTTATGATTCAATTATGAATTTAAATAAAACAAAAATGGGAATACCTTCAGAAAGTTCACTAGTTCTGGATATCTGTTCCAGCTCCCAGCCAAGATGTAATGATTCATCCATACTTTGTTTCTGTGCCATTTCCAAAGTCATATTTTCTTCCATTAATTCTTCAATTTTTTTTCTATCCATATCTCGTTCCTTTTTTATTGGCAAGGATTACAGAGAGGAAAAAAAAGCCAAGAAGCAGTACAATTTCAAGCAAACACTTTATTATTCACAACTTTTATTTATCTGAAACTCAGTAATAATAAATTACAAGTTCCTTAAATTTTTCCATTTTGAAGGCAATTATAATTATTACTGGTCATCATACTGATTCAGTGTCTGACAACCTTTTAAGGTGATCTTTGGGGACACAATGAAAATTCTTCTTCCATAGTCAAGATACTGTTTTAGTGATATAACAAAATAATTATGACCCAATGCTAAATTTTAGCAGATTTATTTCTGTATTTTTAAAAACATGTTTACACTATAGCATATTGTGGTATTGAATGCTGAAGATAAAATTAGTAAGTAACATGCTTCTGTAAAAAAAGCAGAAATTTCTACTACTTCTATAGTTATATAAAGTTAGATGCTCTAACTTATTTAGCTATCTCTTCTCTGTTAAAGCCTCAAGGACACTAGCCATCCCTGCCAATATAGGGAAATCAGCAGAATCTTACAAGTTTTCCTTAGAATCCATGGAATTGATATACCTCTTAAAACTTACCATTTCCATATCATGAAGTTTAGCTTTTAGTTGTAAGTTCTCTTTTTCCAATTCATGTAATTTATCAGAACGAGCACGAGTTCCTTCTAGTTGGTCTTCCAACATGGTTTTTGTTTCTAATAAAACTTGATTGTCTTCTTTTAATTCCTATAAACATTTGATATAGGCCTTATTTATCACAAATATGTTAATATCTGTTAATTTTTTAAAGTTCTGGAACATAAAGATTATCATAAAACATTAAGCCATCTTTATTAACAGTTCTACGCATGAGTAAACCTACTGAGGAAGAGAAATAAAATTAATGTTTTCTTAGCTTCCTTTTTACCCCAGAATGCAAACAAAACATTCAGTACTTATATTAAGATATACAATTCTACCATAATTTCACATTAAATTGGCAGGATATATTTAAATTCCTTAGTCACAAGGATAAGGAATTAACTAAGTACAAGTAGTCTTTCAGATATTTAAGATACAAATCTCCATGGAATCAAGACTTAATGTATTGACTGAAACAGATTTAAAGATTTCTCTGTACTTTGAGCTATAACTTGAAAGTGAAGGGCTTGAGGTTTTAGTAGTAAAATACCACAACTTGAACCAGGACTCAAATAAATCATAAACCAAAGCTCTATTTATAAATATTTTACATAAACATACCTTGAGGAAATCCTTAAAAGTCCCTGAATATGTTTTGAAGATAAGCGTTCACAATTCTATCTTGCTTAAATTATATGCCTATGGTTTCTAAACTTAAATCTAGAAAAGTTTCTAAACTTAAATCTAGAAAAGGTATTCATGAGAATCTCTTAACGGTGTCATGCATACACATGTCTTTAAATAAGTGGAAAATAATTAATATGTACTTTACCTCTACAGTCCTATTGGGTCTACATACTGGTAACCTTCAACCTAAAATGTTCTAATTACTTTCTCTTATGTTTTCATTTCTTGATTTTGTATACTCCCTCCTTCTTATCCTGATATTGAAACTGACCAAAATTTTCTGTTTACAGATAATGAGAAAATTTTGAAAGAAAAAAAGACACAAGACCTGTCAAATTCTTTTTTGTGTTTTGTTTGAGGTGGAGTCTTACTCTGTCACCCAGACTAGAGTGCAGTGGCGTGATCTCAGCTCACTGCAACCTCTGCCTCCTGGGTCCAAGCAGTTCTCCTGCCTCAGCTTCCTGAGTAGCTGGGATTACAGGCATGCACCACCATGCGTGGCTAATTTTTGTATTTTTAGTAGAAACAGGGTTTTGCCATGTTGGCTAGGCTGGTCTCAAACCCCTGACTAAAGGTGATCCGCCCGCCTCAGCCTCGCAAAATGCTAGGATTACAGGCGTGAGCCACCGTGCCTAGCCTGACCTGTCAAATTCTTAACAAACTCAACTTCACGTAATACTGAACTGTAACTATCAAGTTAGAAAAACCGTTTTTTGTTTCCAGTTGTTTGTATCTATATAGGCTTCATTAATCTTAATTTAGTAATCTCAGTTAAGAAGGAATCTGAAATATGTTTTACTTTCACTTTGGGGAACAAGTTTGAAATTAGTAGAAATAAATATTTTTACTATAAGGGAAGGACTTAAAAGGTCTGCTCTACCTATGATGCTAAGAAAAGGAATAAAAGAAGAGCGAAAAGAGTTCAATAAAATCAGTAATATCCACAGATCCCTTTGTAAAAGTCTAACTAAAAACAATATGCTAATCTATCATAAAATAAACATACTCAAATGTATTTACTGTTCGTTCACCATTTCAAGAGTTTCTCATGTTTATTAACTGCATTTTAAACGTGTTAAAATTCTAACACTTTCAAAGAAAAAAATATTATGAATGGTTAATTATGCAACATACCTCAACTCTTGCCTTATAAAATTCAATATCATGTAGTCTCTCTTTGTATCTGCTGACTTCACTTTCAAGTTTATCAACTCTGATTGCTTTCTCTCGAAGTGCATCTAATTCATCTCGGTACATTCTGGCAGAGCGAGCATCCGAAAGCAAATTCATGTTCTAAATAAAAATTAAAAATTATATTTTAAATACTATTTTAATACTAAAATTTAAGTAGTATTTAATTTTAAATACTACTCCAAGTAGCTAGGATTACAGGCTCCTACCATCACGGCCAGATAATTTTTGTATTTTTAGTAGAAATTGGGTTTTGTCATGTTGGCCAGGCTGGTCTCAAACTACTGACCTCAGGTGATTCACCTGCCTCAGCCTCTCAAAGTGCTGGGGTTACAGGCATGAACCACCACACCCGGCCCATTTATTTTTATTTTTATTATTTATTTTTTTGAGACAGAGTCCTGCTCTGTCACCCAGGCTTGAACCCACCTCCTGGGTTCAAGTGATTCTTGAGCCTCAGCCTCCCGAGTAGTAGGCATTACAGACATGCGCGACCACGCCCGGCTAATTTTCATATTTTTGGTAGAGACAGGGTTTCACCATGCTGGGCATGCTGGTTTCAAACTCCTGACCTTGTGATCTGCCTGCCTCAGCCTCCCAAAGTTCTGGGATTAAAGATGTGAGCCAATGCACCCAGCCCTATTTTTTTTTTTTTGGAGACAGAGTCTCACTTTGTCACCCAGGCTGGAGTGCAGTGGCACAATCTCAGCTCACTGCAACCTCCACCTCCAAGGTTCAAGAGATTCCTGTGCCTCAGCCTTCCAAGTAGCTGGGCTTACAGGTGTGTGTCACCACATCCAGTTAATTGTTCTATTTTCAGTAGAGACAGGGTTTCATCATGTTGCCCAGGCTGGTCTTGGATTCCTGGCCTCAAGTGATCTGCCTGTCTTGACCTCCCAAAGTGCTGGGATTACAGGCATGAGCCACCACATCCAGCCTATTTATTTATTTTTGAGACAAAGTCTAAGAAAGAATTGGTGGTTATTTTTTATGACCTTTTTTTTTTTTTTTTTTGAGACAGGGTCTCACTCTGTCATGCAGGCTGATCACTGGCACATTCACAGCTCACTGCAGCCTCAACCTCCCAGACTCAAGTGATCTTCCCACCTTGGCCTCTCAAGTAACTGGTACTACAAGCATGTGCAAGTACGCAAAGCTTATTTTTTCATTTTTTGTAGAGAGGTTTTGTCATGTTGCCCAGGCTGGTCTTGAACTCCTGGGCTCAAGCAATCCACCTGCCTTAGCCTCTCAAAGTGCTAGGATTACAGATATGAGCCACTGCGCCCAGCCCAAGTGACCTAATTTTTTTTTTTGTTTTTGAGATGTAGTCTTACATTGCTGCCTGGGCTGGAGTGCAATGGCGTGATCTCGGCTCTCTGCAACCTCCGTTTCCCAGGTTCCAGCAATTCTCCTGCCTCCGCCTCCCGAGTAGCTGGGATTACAAGGGCCCCACTACCATGCCAGGCTAATTTTTTGTATTTTTAATAGAGACAAGGTTTCATTATATTGACCCCCCAGGCTGGTCTCAAATTCATGACCTCATAATCCGCTCACCTCGGCCTCCCAAAGTACAGGGATTACAGGCGTCAGCCACTGTACCCGGCCAGACTTAATTTTTTAAAAATTCATAGTTTTTGTTCCTAATATGGTAAATACCAACAGATATAATTCACATTAAAACAATTCTCATTAATTTTTAAGAGTGCTGAGGAGGCTTGAGACCAAAAAGACTGAAAACTACTACTTTAGAGAGAACAAACATACATAAAAAAAACTCTTAGTGTCAACAAGTAGAAAAGCAGCCATAGCATGTCTAGAAATAGACTATGAAGCCCAGTCTCATTTAGCTACAAAGGTCTCAGTTTATGATCCTGCAATTGTAGTCTTCCCTGCATTAGATGGCAGGTATGGGGAAGTTAAAGGAAGAAACAACTATACAGCCTTATCCCAATCCTTAGCACTTACTATTAAAGAGCGCCACACGCTAACCCCAAATAAAAATGAAACATTAGAGTGATTGTAAAAGTGAACTATTAATTATTCTTGGTTTAAGGTGAAAAAAGAAGCAGCATCTCCAAAATAAAGATACTGCTTAAAAAAGTAAAAAATTTTAATCTTATTTAATAGGAAAAGAGTGAAAAAAGTCAAAAAGCATTTACTTATATATAAGTTAACATAAAGCACTATCGGAGCAGAAATACACAGAGATACACATAAAGAGCATGGTTTACAGTAAGGTGTTCTAGCTTTCAAGGCCACAGAAGCCAAACACATCAAAAAGAAAAATGTGGAGCTACCCCAGTCCTAAGTAGCTCTTACACATCTTAGCAGAGTTTGAATAGCACTAATACGGAAGAAAGTTTTGACTCTGGCATTTTTGAAGCGAGAGACTCTGAAAAAGTGATCTAATCTCATGAAGCCTCAGTAACCTCATTTATTTACATAAACCATTGAGGTAAAGGTTATAAATTACAAGGAAGAAAATCAGTCAATTTCCAATTACTCGGTGGTCCTAAATAATAGATATTCTAGGTACCAACCTCTTGTTGCAGCCTTTTGAGTTCTATTTCCATTTGCTCAAGTTCTTGTTTACAATCCAACAACTGTTCAGTCTTTTCCTCCCTTAAATGCAAAAATATATTCAGTAAGTATACTACTTTTGAAAATTGTGATTGTTATCTCTGTTAATATATTATTATCATTACTAAATAACTAATACTAAATAGTAATTAGTATTAGTCGAACATAGTATTAGCCATAACCCTAATGCAGAAGAGGGAAAAAAAAAAAGACAGATATTAGGAATTTATATAATTAGATGCCATTAATCAAACCTCCTTCCTAATGTTTTCCAAAGGCTAACCTCAATGGCTAATGTTCTCATAGTACTTAATATACATAATACAGATTTTCTTTTCTTTTTTTGTTCTTTTTTTGAGACAGTGTCTCCCTCTGTTGCCCAGGCTGGAGTGCAGTGGCACGATCTTAGCTCACTGCAACGTCTGCCTCCCAGGTTCAAGCAATTCTCCTGCCTCAGCCTCTCAAGTACGTGGGAATACAGGTGCGGGCCACCACACCCAGCTAATTTTTTAAATTTTTTTGTAGAGACGGGGTTTTACTTGATCTCTTGACCTTGTGATCCACCCACCTCGGCCTCCCAGAGTGCTGGGATTACAGGAATGAGCACTTCGCCTGGCCTCAGTTTTTCTCTTTCTCTTTTTTCATCTTTCTTGCCCTCCACCCCTTCTATTTCACTCTTCTTTCTCTCTCCCTCACTCTCTGTAGTCACAGATAGTTAAGCTAATATATATATATATTTTTTCTGCTGCCCAGGCTGGAGTGCAATGGCACGATCTCAGCTCACTGCAATCTCTGCCTCCCAGGCTCAAGCAATTCTCCTGCCTCAGCCTCCCCAGTAGCTGGTATTACAAGCGCCCGCCACTAGGCCCAGTTAATTTTTGTATTTTTAGTAGAGCTGGGGTTTCACCATGTTACTCAGGCTGGTCTCAAACTCCTGATCTCAGGTGATCCACCTGCCTCGACCTCCCTAAGTGCTGTAATTACAGGTGGGAGCCAGTACGCCTGGTCTAAGCTAAGAATTTTTATCCAAGGCAGTACTACCTGGGTCTGAGACTTATAAGGGTCTTCAACAATTTTCAACATTTACAATGGCTAAAAGGAAATTATACACTTCCGATTACCATAAGATACATAAGATATTTATTTCTCTATTGGTTTCTGCCTCCTAGCCTATAAACATCCTCAAATTTCTTCAATTATTTTTTTCTCTTAGAAATTGTTTTACTTCTAATCCCCATTTTCTCTCTCTCCTTCACGGCCAAGCTCCTTAAAGTAAGCCTGCACTCACTATCTCTACTTTTCCACCTTCTGGTTTTTAATAATAAAAAAAGTAAATGTTCGCTGTATAAAACAACTTATTGTTCTCATCTCTTCGTGCCCTTACATTTTTCAAAACCATTATATATTAATATGTTATAAAATATGTGTATATTATTTTAAAATATGTTATTAAAATATATATGTATATACTTTAAGAGATAGGGTTTCACTCTGTCACAAGTGACAGCTTGGACATGCCACTGTCCAAGATGAAGTGCAGTGGCATGATCAAAGCTCACTCCAACCCTGAACTCCTGGAGTCAAGTGATCTTCCTGCCTCAGCGTCTAGAATAGCTGGGACTATAGGCATGTGCCACCACTTCCAGCTAATTTTTTGTAGAGATGAGGTCTCACTCTGTTGTCCAGGCTGGTCTCGAGCTCCTGGCCTCAAGCAATCCTCCTGCCTCAGCCTCCCAAAGCACTGGGATTACAGCCATGAGCCATGGTGCCTAGCCCAAAACCATAATTTTGAATGGTAGAAAAATATTCCCTTTGCTAAAGAAACCACACTTTATTAAGTGGATTCCATTTTTCATAGTACTATTTAATCTTTTTACTATACATAAAATCCTGTGTATTTCATGACAGTTTTCTTTTTCTTTTCTAAGAGACAGGGTCTCACTACATTGCCCAGCCTTGCTTTGAACTTTTGAGCCCAGAATTCCACCTCAGCCTCCTAAGTAACTGCGACCACAAGCGCACACTGCTGTGCCTGGCTTTTGGGACAGATTTCTAAAAGTGCATTAAAAGTTAAAAGGCAGCCGGGCGCGGTGGCTCACACCTGTAATCCCAGCACTTTGGGAGGCCGAGGCGGGTGGATCACGAGGTCAAGAGATCGAGACCATCCTGGTCAACATGGTGAAACCCCGTCTCTACTAAAAATACAAAAAATCAGCTGGGCATGGTGGCGCGTGCCTGTAATCCCAGCTACTCAGGAGGCTGAGGCAGGAGAATTGCCTGAACCCAGGAGGCGGAGGTTGCGGTGAGCCGAGATTGTGCCATTGCACTCCAGCCTGGGTAACAAGAGTGAAACTCCGTCTCAAAAAAAAAAGTTAAAAGGCATTTGAAACAGGTTGAGTATCCCTTATCTGAACTGAACTGCTTGGGACCCAGAAGTATTTAGAATTTTTTCATTTTTTTTTTGTTCTGTTTTGAGACAGGGTCTCTCTCTGTTACTCAGGCTGGAGTGCAATAGTGCAATCTCAACTCACTGCAGTCTTGACTTCCTGGTTTGGGTGATCCTCCTGCCTCAAGCTCCCATGTAGCTGGGACCACAGTCATGTGCCATCACATTTAAAAAAAATTATTTGTAGAGACAGGGTCTCCCTGTGCCACCCAGGCTGGTCTCAAACTCCTGACCTCCAGCAATCCTCTTGCCTTGGCCTCCCAAAGTGCTGAAATTACAGGTGCAAGCCACCATATCCAGCCTCATTTTAACCATTTTTAAGTATATAATTCAGTGGCATTAATTATGTTCACAATGTTGAATGTTGGCCATTCTTCATGTACGTTAATACGCAGAATTCAAAACAGATGTTTACAGAAAAATATGCATCTCAATGTTCATAGCAGCATTATTCATAATACCCAAAAACTGGAAACAATTCAAATGCCCATCAACTGAAAAATGGCTAATCAAAATGTGGTATACCTATTCAGTGGAATATTATTTAACTCTAAAAAGAATAAAGTTTTGATACATGCTACAACATGGATGAACCTGGAAAACATTAAGTAAATAAAGCCAGTCACAAAAGGCACATATTATATGATTCCATTTATACAATAAAATGTCCAGAATAGCCAAAATCATGGAAACAGAAAGTAGATTAGTGATTGCCAGGAGCTGAGGGCAAAGGGGGAGAGACGGCGATTGTTAACTGAATATGGGGTTTCTTTTTGCGGTGACGAAAATGTCTTGAAATTGGTGTGACAACTGCACAATTCTATGCATAAACTAAAACCACTGAATTGTATACTATAAAAGGATGAATTTTCTGACATGCAAATTGTATCTCAATAAGGTATTTTTTTGAAAAATAATAAATAGCTTGTATCAGAAAAATTCTTTCAAAACCTGGGATTTATGGAGGCAGAGTTAAAGGGAGTCTTTGGTAGTATTAACTACCACATAAAAGTGAAATTACTATTTTAAATTTAAAAAATTACTTCTTTCACCCATATCACAAATTATACTTTTACTCCATATGTTTATAAATCAAAAGCAATTACATCATAATGTACGGCCCCATAAATGAGTATGCTGTTAATTTTCACTTTCTGGTTGCAATTACTTATTGTATAGTTTCCATTCGGTATAAGGCAACCTACTATTTTTGTCCACCACAATTTCTGTACTTCATTCACTTTAGTAGAGATTTCTCTCAATAAAAAGGAGATATACTTCTTTCTAATAATAGAAGAAATCCATAAAGAAACACATTTTCAAAGAAAAATGAAGATATTATATGGTATTTGTTGAAAAGCTAGTTACTGGGAATACTGGCACATTTATTTACCCATTAAAAATACCCATTTACGGGACTCCATGTTTGGATCCCCTTCCACGAACACTCTCTTGCTCGTGGAAGCTGTTTTTCTCTATCCTGGATTTTCCCTCTGGAGTCCCCTTCAAACACTCTTGTGGAAGCCTGTCTTCCCCTCCTGAACTCTATCTCTCTCTATTCCCTTCCACTCAGCGTGGAAGCTGCTTTCCTCTCCTGGATTCCATCTTTCTGGATTCTCTCACTCAGTGTGAGAGTTAGCTGTTTATTTCTCTCTCCTTCTCTTGTTTCTCTCTCTCTCTCTCTCTCTCTAAATAAATCACTTTCTACAAAAAAAAAAAAAAATACACATTTACATTTTCTAATCAGTATTAGAAAATCAAATTTCATCAATCTCCTCAATTTTTTGGAATTTTAATATACTCCATGGCCAAGTAAATTTTATTTAAAAACTAAATTCTAACATAGCGTAAAACCTTAAACGAATTCACAGCCATCATTACAGATATAATTGCATGCTTTATCTAAAGGCTGGAGAAGATTGTGCTAAATTATATGGAACGAACTAGTGTTCACTATTTAGACTATCCATTAACTGCCAGTCAAACTAATAACAGCAATCTCTTCTCTAATCTTCATGGTGCAGCTGTTTACAGAATATCCTGGGTGTGTTCATTTCAATAGATACATAATAATGCAGACATCCACAAATGAAAGCTGTTATTTTTTATTTTCAAATTTTCCTGTGAACTGTAATATTTTTTCTACTTTGCATATTCAATCACTTTAACTGTTTTAAATAATCAGTAAATAAGTTTAGTTGCTAAACTGTGGTTATAAATTTAAAATCTATATTCTGAAGCTCAAATTCCAAGAAACCAAAAAAAAAAAAAAAAGCCCTCACAACAAAAATCCTTTGTTCTTTTAAAAGTACAAAATAAAAACAAATCTCCAGCAGAGACTGATCACATCTTTACTTGGGGTTCACCAAGGAATGCCTACGTGACATTTATACTTGCTTTTCTGTAATGGTCTTTTAAGAAAATATAATTTCATCAGCACTAACCAAATCTGAACACAGTCATGCATCGTTTAACTATGGGAATATACTCTAATAAGTTAGGTGATTTCATCACTGTGCAAACATCACAGAGCATATAGTACTTACACAAATCTAGATGGTATAGCCTAATATATACCTAGGCTATATGGTATAGCCTATTGCTTCTAGACTACAAACTTATACAGCATGTAATGGTACTGAATACTGTAGGCAACTATAACACAATGGTAAGTAATTGTGTATCTAAACATAGAAAAGGTACAGTAAAAATTGGGTATAAAAGATAAAAAATAGTACACTTGTACAGGGCATTTACCATGAATAGAATTTGCAGGACTGAAAGTTGCTCTGGATGAGTCACTGAGTAAATGTGAAGGCCTAGAACATTACTGTACACTACTGTAGGCTTTATCAACACTATACTTAGGATACACTAAGTTTATTTATTTATTTATTTCATTGTATTGTATTTTTTTCTTTTGAGACAGAATCTCTCTGTCACCCAGGCTGGAGTGCAGTGGCACAATCTCAGCTCATTGTAACCTCTGCCCCCGGGGTTCAAGCGATTCTCGTCTCAGCCTCCCGAATAGCTGGGATTACAGGCATGTGCCACCATGTCCAGCTAAATTTTTGTATTCTTAATAGATACAGGGTTTTGACATGTTGACTAGACTGGGTCTTCAACTCCTGACCTCAGGTGATCTGCCTAGCACCTTGGCCTCCCAAAGTGCTAGGATCAGAGGTGTGAGCCACTGTGCCTGGCTAAATTTATTTATTTATTTATTTGAGATAGAGTCTTATTCTGTCACTCAGGCTGGAGTGCAGTGGTGCAATCTTGGCTCAAAGCAAACTCTGCCTCCCAGGTTCAAGCAATTCTCCTGCCTTAGCCTCCCGAGTAGCTAGGACTACAGGTGTGTACCACCACACCTGGCTAATTTTTGCATTTTTAGTAGAGATAGGGTTTCGCCATGTTGGCCAGGCTCATCTCAAACACCTGACCTCAGGTGATCCACCCACTTCAGCCTCCCAAAGTGCTGGGACTACAGGCATGAGCCACTTTGCCTGGCCCTAAACTTAGTTTTAAAATTTTTGTCTCTTCAATAATAAATTAACCTTAACTCATTGTAACTTTTCACTTTATAAACTTTCAAATTTTTAAACTTAACTCTTTTATAATGTTTAGTTTAAAACATCAACACATTGTACAACTGTAGAAAAACATTTTCTTTCTTTATACCCTTATTCTTTATTTATTTATTTATTTATTTTTGAGAGGGAGTCTCGCTGTCACCCAGCCAGTGTTGTGATTTCAGATCACTGCAACCTCCACCTCCCTGGTTCAAGTGATTCCCCTTACCTCAGCCTCCCTAATAGCTGGGATTACAGGCGCACGCCACCACACCCAGCTAATTTTTTTATATTTTGGGTAGAGATGGGGTTTCACCACGTTAGCCAGACTGGTCTTCAACTCCTGACCTCAGGCAATCTGCCCCCCTCGGCCTCCCAAGGTGCTGGGACTACAGGCATGAGCCACTGTACTCAGCCTATGTATTTACTCTATAACCATTTTTCTTTTCTTTTCTTTTGGGCTTTTAAATTTTTTTTGTTAAAAACTATGACACACATTAGCCTAGGCTACACAGGGTCGGTCAGGAACATCAAGGCTTCACTAGATGAAGATCCATTAGAATCTTATAGGACCACCATCATATATGTGCTCCATTGTTTACTGAAATGTCGTTACGTGGCACATGACTGTATTTACCTTTACTAAGTACATGGCTCAGGCATCTCAATCCAAGATACACACACAAAAAACTATTTTTTGGTAATACTATAATTCCAACAACTCAGTTTTTTAGGTGCAAAACATTAATTTTAAAAGAGTTAAGCTTATTGACCTACATCAGTAGTTCCTAATAATTTGGATTTCAAAGAATGTAAAGACAAAAAATTGACAGCCCCAATCTGCCAAATGAGGAGTTATCCTACTTAAAAAAAAAAAAAAAAAAAAAAGAAAAGACATTACCATTAGAAAGCTAGAAAGGCCGTAACGCTAAAATAAAAGGCGTCCTTTAAATTGGTAAGATTTAGCAATAGGAAAACCTCATGTCAGCTTCCTTATTTTTCTCATTTTGACACATACTTGTGAGAACACTGACACAAGCTGGCAATATTTCCATAATTTAAAAATATTGTTTGGGTCACCTTTGGGACCATAAAAATTCAATGAACCTTAAAAATCAGCAACTTACAATTCCTGCCTAAGCCTTCTTATCTTGGCTTTAGCGTCTGCCAGTTCCACTGACAGATGTTGTCGACTTTCTGTTCGCTTCATGCCTGGAGAACCACAAGGTGATTGTGCAGATGAAGAGGCATGGGGTAGAAAATGAAGACCATCCCGCTCTTCAGAGAGTTCTATGATAGTCTAGAAATACACACAGAATCACTTTCAGTATTCTACATATTAGCAAAAAAGACACATCAACACTATCCACTAAGTCTAAGAATTGTACTACAATATTAAAAATAATTCATTGGTCAAAACAACTATCATATTTAGTTGTCATTCTTTATAAGTTTCATTCAACAGCTCATGCATGTGCTACTTAGTAAATAACAGTAGACAAGGTAATAATTTTTTCCTTTCCTAGTTTTTTAATTTTATTGTTGTTATTGTTGTTTTAAGTTCCAGGGTACAAGTGCAGGATATACATGTTTGTTACATAGGTAAATATGTGCCATGGTAGTTTCCTGCACCTAACAACCCATCACCTAGGTATTAAGCCCAGCATGCATTAGCTCTTTTCCTGGCCCCCCTTGATGAGCCCTGTGAGTGTTGTTTCCCTCCATGTGTCCATGTGTTCTTATTGTTCAGCTCCCACTTTTAAGAGAGAACATGCGGTATTTGGTTTTCTGTTCCTGCATTAGTTTGCTGAGGATAATGGCTTCCAGCTTCATCCATGTCCCTGCAAAGGACATGATCTCATTCTTTTTTATGGCTGCATAGCACCCATGGTTTGTAAGTACAACACTTTCTTTATCCAGTCCATCATTGAGGGACATCTGGGTTTATTCCATGTCTTTGCTATTTTTGCTTTCCTAGTTTTTTAACAAAATAAATCAATTATGATCAGATAGCCAATGTTGGAAAGGCATAAAAGACCCGTTGACATAGAAAAGAAAGAAACTTAAGAGTGATGTGTCTGGAACTATGTTGTCCAATATAATAGCCAGTAGCGTAGGTGGCCATTTAATTAAAATTTTTTTAAGTTAAAAATTCAGTTCCAGTCCGGGCGCAGTGGCTCATGCCTATAGTCCCAGCACTTTGGGAGGCAGAGGCGGGCGGATCATTTGAGGTCAGGAGTTCATGACAAGCCTGACCAACATCGTGAAATCCCATATCTACTAAAAATACAAAAAAATTAGCTGGGCATGGTGGCACACATCTGTAAGCTCAGCTACCTGGGAGGCTGAGGCAGGAGAATCACTTGAACCCGGAAGGTAAAGGTTACCATAAGTCAAGATTGCTCCACTGCACTCCAGCCTGGGTGACAGAGTGAGACTTCGTCTCAAAAAAAAAAAAGTAAATTCAGTTCCTTAGTTGTACTTGTCACATTTCAAGTGCACACAGCCATTACTGTATTACACAGCTCAGTAATACAATCTTGGACAGCCGAGAAATACAATCTTGCCATCACTGCAGAACTGGACAGCACTACTCTTGAATTATGAACAGGGGTCTTGGAGGGTCCTAACAATACCTCAAAAATTTAGCTCAATCTCTTTACTCTGCAGTAAGTAATTGAGGCACAGTGACTGATTTGTCCATAATCACACAACTAGCTAATAGCTCATGACTCCATGCTAGTCTGACTTCACATCTTATGCTCTCTCTCCTACTAATTCCAGTCTGGTTCCCCTCTCAAAGGCCCTCCCCTCTCCTTTCTTTCCATTTTCTCCTTCTTCCCTTTTCTCCCTTCCTTCCTTCTCTTTTTCTCTCTCGCTCTCTCTCTCTCTCTCTTCCAAGACTCTCCATGGGACACAAACCTCCTTTTCATTTTCCTAAATCTAAACTTTAAGGGCTATATGTACCTTCTCAATTCCCCTAATTTTCCTTTCATTGTATGTAAATTCTCTTACTCTAACCCAATTTCTCAGGTTTTTCTTTGAAACTTCTCAGGCAAATAAACTGCCTTATGTAGCAATTTCAGCTGTACTACGATTTTAGAAAGAATGGGTAGGGTTACTATCTTGGGATCATAAAATAGCATCCTTGATTTATTTCTTATCACCAAATTTTATCTGTATTTCCTGAATCATTACTTTTTTTCTTTTCTTTTTAACCATCTACCAGAATTGATTTATCTTCAGGATACATTTTAGCACCTGTATCAAGGTCAGTCTTATCTTCCTGCCTGTAACTATTGCTTTCCGATTCCAGTATCTCTGTTGATGAACCTCAGAAAATTACTTCCCATTTCTTTTTCTCTCTACTAATTCCATGTCCACTCCTTATATCAGTTCATACAGTTTTCTCCAGCAAAGGAGGCAATTCTTCCAATGTAGCATGCCTCCTTTACTATCATTTTCCCGTGTCACCATACCTACTCCTGAACCTTTATTCACTCAATTCCTCCCCTGTTTTGCTCAGTTCAAGAGATTATTCCTGACTACTCTAGAGTTCCTACTCAGCCTGGAATTACAATTAGGCCCTTAAATGTCATTCTTACTGTGCTCTTTACTGGCTCATTCTTTGCAAAAAAAGAAAAAGGAATGAACATTTATAGAACTTGTGAGGGATTACTATAATTTGCAATAGAGGTATTATGCCAGTTTTAGACATGAGAAAACTTAGGCTCATATAGATTAAGTAACTTAACCAAAGTCACACAACTAATGATAAGGATAGCAGAGATTCAAGTTCAAGTTTGACTCTAAAACTGTTATCGTCCTGACCTACCATCAGTTTTCTCTATTTTTGCTCCAAGATGATAAAGCTCTTACAGAAAAACAAGAAGTTACACAGTCCTAGTACAGATCTTGCCATCCATTTTCAATTCAACTCTTTCCACTGCCTATCTATCCTTTTATTGAAACCTTGCTGATTTTCCTTCAAATATTTTATGATGACTATGTAAATGTATTACTTCTTCTCCACTTAAGCCTCCAACTGCAAACTGCTATCATTACTTTCACCTCTCCTCCAATTTGCCAAAGAAACAAAACCACCTGGGATTACCTCCTTTCTTCTTATGCATTTTTTTGCTCCTAATATGTATTCCTTACTTAAACATTTCAATTTTTCTTCTTATTGGCTTTTCTATGTTCTTCAAAGATATACAAGTTTCTTCTACCCAGGAAAAAAAAATTGCATTCCTTTCTTGGCACTTTTTGAAGGATGGTTCATATGTCTAATAACACTATTCTCTTCTATCCCTCAATCAGCTGGCTCATCCCAACTTCCCTGTGAATAGTGTTATTAATCTCCATAGTATCCCAGACTCCATGTACTCAGAGCCAACTTTTATTTGTATATTTTCTTACTGTCTCAGTTATCTTTGTTTTTGATTTTTTTGGTTTTTTTTTTTTTTTTTAACCAAGTCTCTCTGTCACCAGGCTGGAGTGCAGGGGTGCAATCTTAGCTCACTGCAACCTCCGCCTCACAGGTTCAAGCAATCCTCATGCCTCAGCCTCCCAAGTAGCTGGGATGACAGGTGCATGCCATCACACCCAGCTCATTTTTCTATTTTTAGTAGAGATGGGTTTCACCATGTTGGCCAGGTTGGTCTTGATTTCTTGACCTCGTGATCCAGCCACCTCGGCCTCCCAAAGTGCTGAGATTACAGGTATGAGCCACTGCGTCCGGCCAATGTCTCAGTTATCTTTAATCTTTCTTTCTAACATCTCCTAACTCTAACAAAGCTGACAGATAGTAAGTATTACTATTTTCTCATGCACAAATAAACAAGCACTTAATTATATGCTAGGTCATATTTTGCACTTACAAATAACGTAGTTTTCTCAATAAACCAGATACCATCTTTCTTACACCTCCTTTGTATCTCTCAATCTCTCATTTTATTTAGCATAGTATTTTACACAAAAATGGATGCTCAAAAATATTCAATCAAACAATTCACAAAATTAAGAACAGGAGAAAAGTACAGAAGACAGATACTACATTTGAAGTTAGTAGGTGGTGAAATGGAGGTATCTATCAAGAAGTCAATCAACTATGTATTACAAAACACTAAAAATAAAGAAAGGAACCTGGTACTTTATAAGTTAAGAGTTCCCAGAGTATTTTCCATTAAAGATTCTTTAGATATTTTGACTGTTCTCCAATGTCAGTAACTTCTTGAGCTCAGGACTTCCCATACATTTTCAAAATAGTCTGACGCAAAAACAAACAAAATAATCTGACCGGAAATGTTTTTAAAGCATAGCTAATTTCGTAAGCTCTCCAATTCCTATAATATATATATATATAAATATATATAGGAATATATACTATATGCTATAGGAATATATATATATAAAATGATATATATCATTTTTTGTACTTACCATGTTCAAAATTTTATTACAGTTATTTTTTTTTTTTTTTTTTTGAGATGGAGTTTTGCTCTTGTTACACAGGCTGGAGTGCAATGGCGCGATCTCGGCTCACCGCAACCTCCGCCTCCTGGGTTCAGGCAATTCTCCTGCCTCAGCCTCCTGAGTAGCTGGGATTACAGGCACACACCACCATGCCCAGCTAATTTTTTGTATATTTAGTAGAGACGGGGTTTCACCATGTTGACCAGGATGGTCTCGATCTCTTGACCTCGTGATCCACCCGCCTCGGCCTCCCAAAGTGCTGGGATTACAGGCTTGAGCCACCACGCCCGGCCGTACAGTTATTTTATTAAAATAACTTCCTTATTAGACTATAACAATCTTTGGTTCTTTTTTGAAATAGTTTGCCAGTTTTTTGCTCCCAAGCATAAGCCCTTGCAAAAAGCAGGTATGTCTTAATATATACTGAAGAATAAACCTAAAAAGATAAATCAGTGCTAACAAAAAACAAAACAAAACAAAAACAGATGACCTATTAATTCTGCTTGTAGAATTCACTATTAAGGAAAAGAAATTAGAGGTGTGCTCAGTACAACCATGGAGTTAGGCAAAGGTATTACAATGTTTCTAACCACAGGCACTGGAGTTAGATCTGGCAAGTTACTTAACTACCTGGGGCTCAAGTACCTTCATCTATAAAATGGGTTTTCATGCAGATTTAATAAAACAGTATATGTTAAACTTACAGCACGAAGTCTGGCATAAAATTAACAGTGCTAATAAAGAGATCTTAAATTCATTAAATTCTCCTATTTGGTTTTTAGTAAAAGAAGAGGACTAAGGACATACTTGTTCTATAGCATTAAGAACACAAAAGTAATAAGAAATGTTAAAAAAAAGTGACCAAATATATACTTTTTAGACTGAAGTGAAAGAATTATAACAAAAGCTAATCAAAACAAAAAAAGTTAAAGGAGAACTCTAAATATGAACTTGTTTCAATCTAATTGAATGACACATAATTCTAGTTACATACTACCTTTACATTTGTCTAATATTTTCTACAATTTTTTAAATGACCTTTTCAAATTAGTCTACTGGTAGCCCAAATTGAGAAAAAAAAAATTCCCAGATAATTAGGTGTCTCTCCCCAACCCTATCCCAGCTATCAACTTTTTTCCCAAATATCTAAGACAGAAGAGTATGACCACATTTTTTTTCCTCATTTGAAAAAAAAATTTAACAAAAATTCTTAAACAGGCAGGATAATATATTTTAAAAGGGTTTTCAATCATTCTATATAGTATTTCATAATCCTTTTAGTTTGCCAGTCACATAATGGTAAGTATTCTCTTTTCTTTATTTCTTTTTTTTAAAATCACTCAGGAAAATGTTCTGTTGAAATGGTAAGTATTCTGTTCACCCCATATTAATCAATTCACTTAAATGGGATCAAACTTTTTTTTTTCTTGAGACAGAGTCTTGCTCTGTTGCCCAGGCTGGAGCTCAGTGGCATGATCTTGGCTCACTGCAACCTCTGCCTCCCAGGCTCAAGCATTCAGCCTCCCAAGTAGCTAGGATTACAGGTATGTGCTACCACGCCCAGTTATTTTTTTATTTTCAGTAGAGATGATGTTTTGCCATGTTGGCCAGGCTGGTCTCGAACTTCTGGCCTCAAGTAATCCACCCACCTCAGCCTCCCAAAGTGCTGGGATTACAGGCGTGAGCCACCATGCCTAACCTGAGATCAAACATTTTATACCTGCCCATCAGTCATATAAAACTAAAGTATAGGCCAGGTGCAGTGGCTGACACCTGTAATCCCAGCACTTTGGAAGGCGAAGGTGGGAGGATCACCTGAGGTCAGGAGTTAGAGGCCAGCCTGGCCAACATGGTGAAACCCTGTCTCTACTGAAAATACAAAAATTAGCCAGGCATGGTGGCACATGTCTGTAATACCAACTATTCGGGAGGCTGAGGCAGAAGAATCACTTGAACCTGGGAGGCGGAGGTTGCAGTGAGCCGAGATGGTGCCACTGCACTGCAGCCTAGGCGATAGAGCTAGACTCTGTCTCAAAAAAAATTTTTTAAATAACAAAAAATAAAATAAAACGAAAGTACAGATTTTTAGGAATAATTCCCCAGAAACTGGAGGATACCTTATTGCAGTACCTTTAACAACCTGAAACACAAATAAATAAATGTTCTAGAAAATGCATAAAGCAGTAAAAAGACACAAAAAAAGATAGCATATGGCTAAAAAATCTATTTGAAAGTGAAATGATCTAAGTATCTCAGGATAAATTTGATACATAGTAGGGATGTTTTCCAATTTATTCTTTCCTTCCTTTGGTCTCAATGTCCTAACTTTAAAAAAAAATTTAACTGTTGCTCTAATATATTTATTTCCTATATTTTGTTTTTGTTTAATGCCTAAAGAAAAATTGAAAATTCACATCAGAACTGAATATCCCCCAGAGAGACCAGAAAGTTTTATATTGAAAAAAAATACTTAGGAATTTTCTCTATGTAGTCTTTCATTGGTCTCAAGGGTACTCATATGAATTTTCTATAAATAAGCTCAAAACTGTATCTCACATGTAAATGAAACTAATAAAAGCTATACATTCAGCAGAATGGCAGAGTACTTTGCTCTTCTATTAAGAAAATATCACCCACCACTGCATGCACTAAAGTCTAGACTCTTTAAAATTATAAACTGCTTTCAGACAGTGCAGATAGAAAACTTGGTACACTTGTACTCTTTTTAAAAAGCAAAGTTCTGTTTTAACGGACTTATAATAATTCTCTTTTTAAAATCACACCTCATTTGAGATCTTTTGTGGGACATTTTATTCAGAACACCTGTTATTCTCCTTCTATTAAAACTTACTTTTCCAACCTCAACATGTGGCAATAAACTAAGAAATTCGCCTTAAGCAAATTCTTATGCTTCATGGCAATGATTTTTCCACTTACATCAACTATATTTTCAGTTTCAGACTTCTGTATTGTTGCCAAAGCTGTGGGGATGACTTGAAAAACAGGAAAAAAAATCAGAATAATACTGATTTAAAAGGAAAGGAGGAGAGAAACCTAACTGCAATTTATTTATTGGCAATTTGGTGTTCTTATACATCCTTTCAGGTTTCTGTAGTCCACACAAAAAAAGACACTCCTTTATTACCTGTCTCTAAGAAATAGTATTGATTCTGAAAACTTCCCAAAGGTACTATTTTCTTTTTTTGAAAAGCAAACTTTCACAATATACTGAAAGAAATTTACAAACCTCTGAATGTTCATCTCTCTCATCTATAAGTCTTTTTAGATGCAATGCCATATTTTTCAAAAGTGGTTCTATGTCCTCCTGCGACATATCAGTCACTTCCATCCATTGCAGGTCAAACACATTTTCCTGATTATGAGTTACCTTTAGAAAAGTAACCAAAATAAACAACCCAAAAAGTGGCTGACACTTAAAAATCTATTTGACTATAGTACAATATTAGCTAAAATATTATATATCCCATATAAAATATGAAAAGTCAATATGATGTTAAAAGGAAAACATCCGAAATTCATGATGAAAGCACTGTAACTAAAAATTATTAATATAATCCTTAAATGAATTAATATTCATTTTCTAGTCAATAAAAATAAAATATTAATATTTAATTCAAGACATTCTTAAAGGAAAGTAATGTTGATATATCCTGACAACTTCTTTAACAAAATCAACTGAACTTTGTAGATAAGATTTTTCATTTATTTTACCTGAATTCAAGAGCAAAGCGTTTTTAATCTTGTAGGATATATGTTACTGCATTGTTGTAATTGAATATCTAAGTCTTTATAGATTCTGAAGATGACACTGTCACAGAAGCTTAGGAGAAAGGATTCCCAATATAAAGATTTTTAAAAGAATGGAAAAGTTATATAAGTGCCTTCCATTTCTCACCATAATTCCAATAATTTGCTCTAACTTTCATAACAAGCAGCAAAAAGAATTATACTTCCAAGGATGGTGGCAAATTCAGTAACTTGCACTACTTAGCATTTATTCACAATAAAATAAAACCATATAACTAGCATAAAGCAAATATGTACTCTGTAATGGGAGACTACCAATAAAATTACATCTTGAAAAGTACTAATATGCTTATTGTTGACAACAATGTTACTGACAAGAAATCTGGGCTTTATGAATGCTAAATAAGAGAAAACATAACCTATGGAACACAAAAGTCTTCTAAATAAAGAATATTTTAAATACTACCAATTTTCACTATTTAAAAATTTTCTCTTTTCCCTTTTCTAATCAACATATAAAATTTAACATACTCTAATTCTAAAGTGTCTTTATAAGATTAAATGCCTAAGAATAGACAGATGTAGAAATAGCTTTTAAAATGAATTTTAATAAATTTTATTAACTTCAATTATTTGACACTGCATAATATGCCCTAGACTTAAGTTTTTATATGAATGCTACAAATCATTAATGTGTTTATAGTTCAAGTAACATCTTTAATAAAAAGTATGCTGTCTATTCATTCAAAAGAAAATCACTAGAATGACAATACTAAGCTTGTCATCTTACCTCACTATTGTTTTGAATTACAAGCAGTGTTCAACTTTCTGCTATTTCCATTTACTGCTTTGTAATCCATTCTAACAAAGACATATACCTCATTCCTCAAATAACACTTTCTGCCTATGTCACTATACAATAAAGGCAATAGTATATTTGTAGTTAACATTGTGCCACATGTAAGGAACTATCTCTAAAGAGAAGACAATTTGTATAAAATCAGCATCCATCTATATTTGATCTTGATTTGTTCTTTAGGAGATACACAAATAAACATACCACAAACTTCATAAATAGCACATAAAATTGTATATAGGTCATTACCTCTTGAATATGTGCGGCAACTGCTGCTTTTGTATCAAAATCTAAACCTTGAATTCTTTCAATAAATTCTTCTTTTTTCTGACACTAAAATAAATGAATAAAATAATTATTCATACTTTATAGGATACAGTCCTTAAAATGTTATATATAACTAAACCTTTATGAGGTTTGCTATATTTTGAACAGTATAGTAAAGGTTCTGTTTTACATTTAAATTGCCTAACATACTTACCTAATAAATAACAATTTAGAAATAATTATTTTAAAAAGCAAGGCACTGAAAATACATACTATTTTTATGCTGGAAAGTTCTAAAGTGAGAAACCATTACACAACTCATCTGAGGTTAGCACAATATTATTATGCTAACTTTACACACAGAGAAGTAAAGAATCAAGAACTTGTTTCAGTGAGGATAAGTTGCTTGCCAAAAAACACAGTGAGTCAGTGGCAGAATTCGGAAAACAGCCAAAATGCTCAGTCAGTCCTTGACTATAACCAAACAACACAGCCTTTCTTCTTGGAAAAAAAATTTAAGCAATTTTTACTTCAAGCTTACAATTCATTCTCACATCTTCATCCTATCAATCTTAATAAAAGAAACCCACTTTTGTGGCCCAGTTCAACATTTGTAAGGTAATCTAATAAATATTTGATTTGTTTCTAATATAGCAAAACTACCAAGGGCAAAATTTAAAAATATATATACAAGTACACATGTAACAAAAAGGAATAAAGGAGGTAATTCTTTATAGTGTAACTTTTAAAAAGCTTTATATAAATTACAAATATTAAAATGCAAAACAATCTTTTCCTTCCAGTCAGTATTAACAATTTAACATGTATCTTAATGTCTGCCTTCACCTACATCACTAATACTGCAAACCAGCTGCTAGTATCACTGTATTCTTATTGCTAACAAATGAGAAGTGCCTACAAAATAGACAGCACTGCCTTGTCTAAATTAGATGCATCTCCTGGGCCAATTACTGAACTACCAGGAAAGACAACATAGTCACAAAATTAAAAACTGGCTCTTTGATCATGAAACTTAAAAGGCTCCGATTTATACTTTACATATTTGTTTTACCAAATTGTAATGCTTTATTTTCTACTACTATACAATTTAAACACACTTCCATCAGCAGAAAGTTCTATATCTTGTAACACAGAATTGTTAGAATAATCAAATGGTTAAAACTAAATTGCCAGAAGTGTGTAATTCCTGGTTGTGATTAGGAAGTCTGAGTTTTGGACGGATGGAATAAAAATTAGTGGGTAACCACTAATTTTTGTCTAGCAAATAATATTTGACAGGCCTTGTGAGAACAATTAAGAATTACATTCTAATCATAAATTCATAGCATATATAAAATATTAACTTTTCAGGTATAGTAACATCAGTTTTAAAATTTAACACTACCAAAATCATTGACCTATGCATAGTTTCTGAGCCTATCAGAACACACAACAGCATAATTATTATCAAAGGTAATGACTATGACTCACCAAAAGAGTCCCTTAATTCAACTAAATAGATACACTTCTCTTTCTAAGCTCCGGAGCAACTGGTTGTTTACTTATACTATCTTTAGGAGCTCATCCTTTAGCACAATCTCAACACAAATGAGAATTTTTCCTTTATCCTTGTAACACACACAATTTCTACTAAATCTCACACCTTATTTAACTCTTAAAAGTTAAGCATTCTCAAATATTTTATAAACAGGTTGGGCTTCCTTAAAGAATACAGAATAAATTTTACAGGCTTTTGAAGGCTAGAAAAGAGAAAGACTGTCAAGATGGAAAAGAGACAGAATATAAGATTCAAACTTTAAAGTTGAATAATTAGATCAAATTTCTTTATCAGAGCTGCCCAATACAGTGATCATTAGCTATACGCAGCTATCGAGTACCTGAAATGTAGCGAGTGTAATTAAGAAACTGAAATTTTAATTTAATTGTAATTAATTTAAATTTAAATAGCCAGACTCGGCTAGTGGCTACTGGATTGAATAGCCCAGCCCTAGAGCATAAGAAAAGTCTGGTGTTAAAAACAGATATATAGCTTAATTCCAGCTGTGAAGACTAAATAATATCAGCAAATTGTTTTTTCCACTTAAAATTAAGCTCTCTTATCTTTATGTAAAGTTCTTAAACTATCATGGGCACTAAAATTAATTTTTTTACTTTATTGTATTATAGTAACTGATTACTAAGCCAGTAGAGTACCATGATATTCTAAGAATATGATATGGAAACCGGTCACAGTGGCTCATGCCTGTAATCCCAGCATTTTGGGAGGCCGAAGCAGGTGGATCACCTGAGGTCAGGAGTTCAAGACCAGCTTGGTCAACATGGTAAAACCTCATCTCTACTAAAAATATAAAAAATTAGCCAGGGTTGGTGGCAAGCACCAGTAATCCCAGCTACTTGGGAGGCTGAGGCAGGTGAATTTGCTTGAATCCGGGAGGCAGAAGTTGTAGTGAGCCAAGATAACGCCACTACACTCTACGCTGGGCAACAGAGCAAGACTCTGTCTCATTTAAAA